GTGCCCAAGATCCCGAGAGGAAAATGGAGGAGAAGGGATTGTGGCATGGCCATCCCCCCTGGGGGGTGTTATTTACCACTTTCTGTCTCTCTGTCTCTGTCTTTCTGGTGTGCACACATGCCCTATAGCAAAAACCTCTTAAAAGAAAAAAAAAAAAACCTCAGATAAAAGAAATAAAAACAAAAATAGAACAATGAGATGAGATGGGAAGATAAAAAGAAAGAGGTCCAGTAGATTAAATTAATATCTATCAGTGTGGAAATACATACTCCCAGAGATGAGAGCTTGTTCATGTTTACCATTAGCAATTACCCAGAGGTTATGTTTTTTACGCATCTTTCTAGATTTTTCTATTAACTAAAGGAAACTTAATCTTTGAAGTCAGTTCCTATTATATAAAGGATTAGGAGCTGAGATGGGAAATTTAGTTATTGGTTTTCCTTTATATCTCTGTAGCAAAGCAAGAGTATACTTCTTGTGGATTTCCAAACAAGAAATGGTTTCATTTTATTTATATCTTCCAAAAAAAGAGAGAGAGAGAGAAAAAGGAGAACACAGAGGTGAAAAATTATAGGGGGCCAACTGATGGTGTGGAGGTTAGGGTGACTGGATTCCACATGACCAAAAGTGCAGTTCAAGTACCAAACCAGGCAACTTGAAAAACAAGCCAGCAATCTGTGCCTGTGGTTCCAAAATTCCAAGAGGAAAGTGGAGAAGAAGGGATTGTGGCATGTCTAACGCTCTTTGGGGAGTTGCTTCCTCACTTTCCCTCGCTCTCTCCATCTCTGTCTAGTGAACACATCTGCCCTATAGCAAAAATTAAAAAAAAAAAAAAAGAAACAGGAATATAGGATAATAAGCAACCTAATGAAAGGTCTACCTTCAAGAAAGATAAAACCTACAGCCAACTTCAAAACAATGAGACATCATTTAATGCTAATGAAATCTTTCATGTGTTAGGGTTTTGTTGTTTGTTTTGGTTTGGTTTTAGTAGGAGTTTTCTTGTTTTGTTTTGTTTTCCTTTGTTTTGTTTTGGGGGGTTAGTTTCTTTTTGCCATAGGGCATATGAGCTTGCTGGAGAGACAGAGAAAGTGAGAAATCACCCCCAAAGGGGAGATGGCCACACCACAATCCCTTCTCCTCCACTCTACTCCTGGGAATTTTTGTTTGTTTGTTTGTTTTTAGAGGTTTCTTTTTTTTGCTATAGGGCGTGTGTGCTCACCAGACAGACAGAGAGATAGAAAGCGAGAAATCACTCCCCAGGGGGGATGGCCACGCCGCAATCCCTTCTCCTCCATTCTCCTTTCAGGATCTTGGGTACGCATGCACACGTGCCTGGTGTGAGTTTAAGCCACCGGGTCCGGGACACGAACCACAGTCGACTACATGGGAGTCCAGCGACATAGCCATTACGCCAACTGCCAGTCCCTACTCCTGGGAATTTTTTTGGGCATGCATGCACACACACACCCAGTGTGATTTTCAGGTCCGGTACTTGAACCATGGTCAACATGTGGGAATCCAATGTCTTAACCTCCATACCATCTGCTGGCCTCGACATTAGTATTAAGTATACAACCTAAATCTATCCTTGACCTGGTAAGATAAATAAATGAGAATAATCAACCACTTACCATTTATGCAAAATGCCTCGAGTACTTATATATGTACATGAATATGGACATATATATGCATATGAATACATGTATGTACAGAATATGTGTACATATATATACACTTACATAAAAACACACATGAAAATGCTACTGTAAATTTTTTTAATTCACTCACTCAACAAATATTTATTGTACAGAGTATACACTAGGCATTCTAAATATTTATGGTGGTTATTAAGATCCATATTCACATGAGTAGGCAAAACATTAGTGAGGTTAAGTGATTACCTAAAAGGTAGTTCAGAGGCAAAAACCACAACTCTAACTCAGATCTTTGAATAAGCACAGTATCCTTTTCAGTCCTCTATTATGTAAGAGGAAGGCAAAAGGAAGAGAAACAAAGGGGAGAAGAGTTGTTAAGAGTTGGTGGAAAATACAAACTATTTCAATAAAAAGTGAGAACATTCGGACACATAAACTTCTATTCTTTGTATTGTAACCTAAACCAATATAGTGGGCCAACCTTAGAGCCTACTAGTAAAATGTGCTCAATCCCACTTGGTTGATGGTGCGATCCTGAGCTAGGCAGCTTGAAAAATATGCTGGGCTACTCATGCCGGGCATGTGTGTGTGCATGCCCAGGATCTCAAGAGGAGAATGGAGAAGGAACTGTGGCATGGCCATCCCCCATAGGGGTTGATTTCTCACTTTCTGTCTCTCTGTCTCTGTCGGGCGAGCGCACGCGCCCTATAGCAAAAACCTCTCCTGGAAAAAATAAGAGAAAAGAAAACAAAAAAAAGAAAAATATGCTGGGCTGGAACCAGTAGTGGTATGGTGGTTGGGGCACTAGACTCCCACATGGTTAACCATGGTTCAAGTCCTGGAAAAATGCTTTCTCATTTTTCCTCATTCTCTCTCTCTCTCTCTCTCTGGTGAGCGCACAGGCCCTATAGCAACTTTTGCAAAAAATAATAATGATAATAAGTTAAATTTTTAAAAATTTTAATAAAACAATGAGAAAAAGAAAAATGCTGGTCACATGTGTGCATACATGCCCAAAATTCCAACAGGATGGAGAAATAGACGAGAAAGAATTACAAAGTGACCATGCCACATTCAGGGGTACTTTTCCTTCTCTCTGTTGAACACATACTCTGTCTTGGTAATTTAAAAATAAATAGAGCTAGGGGGTCGCTCTGTGGCCTAATGGTTGGGGCAGATGGATCCCACATGGTTGACCAGGTGATTCAAGTCCCAGACCTGGAGGCTCGAGCACCAGGGGCACATGAGTGAGTGTGCCAAAATCCCAATGAAAGAGAAGGGATTGCAACATGACCAAGAGCATAAGTAGTCTCTAGGGGAAAAAAAAAAAATAAAGATTTTAGAGAGATTTTAATTGTGGATTTTTTATCCCAATTATTAATTATTGGAATTTAGGTATGTCACTTCATCTTTCTGGGCCTCAGTGTCCTCAAAAGCAAAGTGAAGGGACTGATCTAAATTATCTCAAATACCCCTTTACCATAAAACGTATGCTTCCATAATACTTGGAAAAGGATAAAAGAAATCTACTTTCATCTACTTTCTTTGCTACTATTATCAAAGCCTGTCTATCCTCCAACTTCCACATTCATTACACGACACAGACATTCAAATTTACCTGTCCTCCTCATCAAATGAGCTCTGTGATAACAGTCTTACCTCTAGGTCTTAGGCCCAACCCATAAAAGACAATAAAGAAATACTTGCTGAGTGAACAATCAAAAAAATAACCAGAAACAGGTCATCTTCATTTTTTAATGTGATTTTCTTAATTAAATTCATCATTGTGAAAATTAACTTACTGAACTTTAAACGGTAAAATCTGAATTCTTTGCATGAAATCTCAACAATGAACATTATAATACAAGAATGCATGTGATCAAGGCATATAGTCTTCAAATTGTAAGTACAATTACTATCCTGATTTGTAAATTCACTAACTTTTCTCCTTATGACAGATGCTGAAATTTACTCAAAATCAAAAACATATGTGGATGTGTATATGTACAATTTAGATATTTTTCCTTCAACATATGTATATTTTGATTCTTCTTAAAATTATGCATTTACATATGAATTCCCAAACTACTGTCATTATCCCTTATGTCAGACTGTGTATCTGAAGAATAATATACTTCCACATGAAAACTTTAAAATAAAATTTAACCTTCAAATTCATACAACAAAAATTTAAATCTTACTTGGTGTAGATGGGTCATGGCGCGGTTTGCAATTTTGGAAATTATTCTGTCTATTTTCCTTTGAACTAGATTTACAAACACTTTTGAAAGGGTTAGAGAAACTCTTCCTGGCACTCTGAGAAGAACTTGGGGTAGCAGGACTTGCTCCTCCATGGTGAAAACACCTGCCACTGTTAAAGTCATCTGGAGAGATTATTCCCATGACCTCTATTTCTTTTCCACCAATCATCAATGTTTGGCCTTCTTCAATGTTTTCAAGCTCTTTAAATTTATATCCAATGCCTTTGAGAAAGAAAAGAAGATTAATGAATTAACTGCCATCCTAAGACAACTTAGTGATACCATAGTCATCTTCCCATAGCTGTATGTAATGAAAACTGTGCTATGAATGTAAGGAGACTTGTATAAATTATGTTTCTGAATAGAAACACAGCTTATCATTTTGGTTAAAAAACACACACACACACAAACATCAGAAACAATAATACAGGCATAAAAATAAGCCATACTTTAGAGAAAGCACAACCTTCTTTATAATTAAAAATATAAACTATTCTACTCTTCAGTTTTGCAATCTCTTGTCTGGAAAAATAAGCCACAAAAATAGTTTGACAGGACCCTTCTTTTTTGCATACTAGCAAAACATCACAGTATCTGTTTTTACTAGAAACTGCTAGAAATGTGAAAGAGAATTAGCAATAAAAACACCCACTACCACCACTGCTCAATATGAGATGGCAAAGTAAAATTTCAATTGTGGCAAGAGCATATTGATATTCCTATGTCTAATACTTTAATAAAAGTGGAATGTTTTATATTAAGCATTTTTGAATTATTAATTCAGTAGGCATTTATTAAGTATTGCCATGTCCAAAGTGCTGATGAAACATAAACATGAATGTATAAGTCAATCAGAGACTCCTCAAAATGAACTCAGTAACCAGACAGATGAAATTTTAGACTTCTATGTTGGTATATTAAATATAGTGAACTATAAAATGCATGCTATTATGCCATTACTAGGGGCAGGAATTGTATATAATCTAAACTTTGAGTCTCTAAAAAAATAGTAACACTCATATTTTAGAAAACATAACACTTTTCAGGTAATTGAAAATTCCTACAATTTGCTCTATTAAAACTGGCCTAAAATTTATCATCTGTGCTAATGTGTGATTGACATATAGCCTTTTTTCATAATTATTTTATTGAAATTTATTTATTTATTTTAATTTGAGCAGAGAAGGACAGAGTGAGAGAGAGAAAGAGAAAGTGAGAAAGCCAGCCAGGACTCGAACAGTGGTCAGCTATGTGGGAATCCAACACTCTTAACCACCATGCCATCTGCCAGCCCAGATATATTGTCTTAAATTACCTTTGGTGGAGATATTTTTTTCATTTTAATGCTCTGATACAGGAAGAAACTACTTAGCTAGTGTTCCTAAATGCTAAAGACCCATGGCCCCATTTGAATTCAGCAGTGGTCAATTATTATTAATCTCAGTTTACATGGAAATGGAAGACAAGAATAATCTTTTAATTTCAAGGTACCCTTAAAAGTCTCTAATTCCAGGATTTCTCACCTCATTTTGATACCTAGTGATGACCCTTTCAAACATCTCTAAATCTCCAGAGGACATTTTTATAATTCCTGAACTTTGTTTTCCACACTTGCTTCTGTCTGGGTATTGAGCAGTGATGGACAGTAAGGCCTGACTGCTATCCGCTATCTTAGCATCTGGCTCTTGGTTTCCTTACGTCTCTAACCCTACAAAGTTCTATCTTGTACATCCCATTTATTTAAAAGAAAAACTGCTTGTATAATAGGCAGTAACTTGCAAAATTAAACCATGTTGACACATTAATGTTATAATTATATATAATTATATAATGTTGTATATTTTCATTTTGAAAACCAATATAAGGGCACGCTGGTGACAGTGGTTGAAGAGGCTGGATCCCACATGGCCAACTGGGCAGTTCAAGTCCCAAACCCAATGGTTTGAGAAACACAATGATACTTGTGCATGTGTGCTCAAAATCCCAAAAAGTGAAATGGAAGAGAAAGGGACTGCAGCATGGCCATCCCCTATTGGGGAGGTGGGATATGCTTTCTCACTTTCTCTCTCTCTCTCCAATGAATATACACACCCTCCAGCAAAATTTTTAAAATAATAATAATTTGTGCCAGCATTGGCACACTGGTTAAGATAGCTGGACCCTAAATAGCCAACTGCCAGACCCAATAGCTTGAAAACTCCCCCTAGGCACGTTTGTGTATGTGCCCAAAAATGCATGAGGAGAATGAAGAAGAGACTGTGGCACAGCCATCCCCCTTGTGGGGAGGAGGTACTTTCTCACTTGCCCTTTCTTTCTCTCTCTGTCTTTCTTCAGTGAGCACATGAGCCCTATAGCAAATTTGAAGAAAAAAGCAAAGACTCTAATTCCCCTTTGTTGTTTAAACTGGTGATTCTCAACATCTGGCTAGATATTGGAAGATCATTTTATTATAAGCTATACATACACAAAACTATGTTTACTATACCTCATGGGTAAGAAATATTCCATAGTAACCTTGATCATTTTTGCCTCTCTAGTTGATTTTAGAATATAATTCCACTGAAGCAGCAACACCACTGTGCATATTCACATATTCACCAAAAACCTAGCCCCCGTCTACCTTAACCAATGACATGGGATGTATTCCGTACATTTTTCTTTTTAATTCCTCCTAATCACTAAATATAATATTGTATACACACTACTCATTTCATATTTTTATAATATTTTATAATAAATAAGACAGTGTTTTATTCAATTCAGTATCATCTCTTTTTGGTGAGGTGTGTGTGTGTGGTGGTGTTTCACAGGTTTCACTATGTTGCCCACATTGGCCATGAGCTCGCAATCCTCTGGCCTCAGCCTCCAGAGCAGCCGGCACTACAGGCACATACCACCATACCCAGCTTTTTAGAGTAGGCCAGGAATCGAACACAAGCCTCCCACGTGACTTCAACATGCTTAGTAGCAGCGTCTAGTGCCCACTACCACTGCTGAGCCTAGTTCAGCCTCAACTCTTACCATTCTGTCACTGTCTTTCAAATACTATATTCCTGAAAGATCAGAAGCAATTTGGATTCTCTCATGCCTTTGTGCTTACACATACTCCTTCCTTCACCATAAGCTCCAAAACTATCCATTCTCCAAACACAAAGAGACTTCAAAAACTTCATGAGAAAATGGAATTAAAACATGAGTTTATTTTGTTGCAAAATAAATTTTAAATGTATACATAGTTTCTCCATTATATGCATTTTCCATGCTCCTTTGAAGAACCCTTGTATTACCTTAAACAGTAGATACCTTAAAGAGTTAAGGCAAACAAATGGTCCCCGTATGCTCTCACTGCATTTAATAAACATTCTTACTGAAACAATTACCTTACTGCTTTCTAATTACCAATTACATTGCCTTGTCCCCACTAACCAATAAATTGTATTCATCTTTTAATCTTTATTCCTAACATACTATCAGCATGTAAGTTACTAAAAACTATAAACTATATTTTTATTTTATTTTATTAATTTTTTGAGAGGTTTTTGCTATAGGGTGTGTGCACTCGCCAGAAAGAGAGAGACAGAGAGATAGAAAGCGAGAAATCACCCCCCAGAGGGGATGGCCACGACACAATCCCTTCTCTTCCATTCTCCTCTCGGGATCTCCTCTGTGCCAGTGTGAGTTTAAGCCACCAAGTCCAGGATTCGAACCGTGGTTGACTACATGGGAGTCCAGTGACATAGCCATTACACCAACTGCTGGTCCCTAAACTATATTTTCAAATGAATGAACATGCAGAACAGATTTTATAATAATGGGCCACTCTCAAAACTGAACAATAAAAGACAATGCAAAAAGAAAACTATGGTTGATGTTAGTTAGGCATTCTGATTTTGTAGGCTGCTATCAGTAAAAATTATGCAGACATTTTGTAACAAAATAATCATAATCTCCAATACAGATGTAATTTCAGCCAGGCCTAACCATTATCTCCTTGCTTTGTGTTTGAAATTTCTATCAAATAGCATTGATATTAGATATCATTCAACTCTGTATATATATATATATATATATACAATCTTTTTAAAGGGAGATCACTTAGCAGTCTGATAAAATAAAAAATAAAGTATACTGGGACCAGCAGTTAGCGTAATGGCTATGTCGCTGGACTCCCATGTAGTCAGCCGCGGTTTGCATCCCGGACCTGGTGGCTTAGAACTCACGCCGGGCATGTGTGCATGCGTGCCCAAGATCCCGAGAGGAGAATGGAGGAGAAGGGACTGCAGCATGGCCATCCCCCCTGGGGGGTGATTTCTCGCTTTCTTTCTCTCTGTCTGGCGAGCGCACGCGCCCTATAGCAAAAACCTCTCCAAAAAAAAAAAAATTGAAAAAGAAAGTGTAGTAAGACAAACTGCTTAGTCTCAGAAATGTGCCAAAAAAACTGTATGTAGCTGACCAACCATTTCTGATTTAAAAAAACATGGAATAGGATTTGCCTCAATGAGCCAGGATACATCCTAAGATTGTTAGGCTTGCTAACTCTTATGAAATCATTTTATATATCACAGAGTTGAAGCATGAAAGTTAATTACAGTGCATCTTAATCTGTCTCTTCATAAAACCCAATTATAGGGGCCAGCAGGTGATGTTGAGATGCTGGACTCCCACGTGACCAACCTCAGTTAAAGATCCAGCTGCTTGAAACACACAGGACATTGTGGGCATGCTTCCCAAAATCTGGAGAGGAGAATGGAGAAGGGATTACAGTGGGCCATCACCCCAGGGGGATGATTTCTCACTTTCTCTCTGTCCCTCTCTGTGTCTCTGGTAAGCACACATGCCCTATAACAAAAATATCTCTTAAAAAAATTTCAATTGTATAACCAGAGATACAGACTAATTTTAGGCCAAATCATAAACACTGGGTAATATCACAGTACCTCTTCCAATGTCTTTGCCTTCCAAGTCCTTCAATGTAAATGACCTTCCTTTTATAATCAGAACAGCATCACCTTCCCACTTTTTGTGTTTTTTCTTTGAAGCCTTACACCAAACAACACTGAAATATTTAACTCGGCTATCAGTTTCCTCTTCTTGTTCCTTAGACACTATTATTTCTTTAGAAGCTGAATGAACTAGAATAAAAAATAAAAACATTACTAAAGGTGAGTTCAATGTCTAAGTAATAAGGTCATTCAAACAAAAAAACACACATACAAGGAAATCAGATTATATTAAGAAGTATTATGAAGGAATACTTTTTTGTACTCAAGTTAGCATTTTATAAACTTAGAAACCCAGATGTCAGGTGGGAGCGTTACCACAAAAACAATGAATATAAATTTCTTATTTACATTCCCAAAGTCATACAAACTCTACTGGAGTAGAACAACAAAATAATCACTAAAAACATTTTTAAAAGAATTTTAAAAACTGCTGGTCCCTAAACTATATTTTCAAATGAATGAACATGCAGAACAGATTTTATAATAATGGGCCACTCTCAAAACTGAACAATAAAAGACAATGCAAAAAGAAAACTATGGTTGATGTTAGTTAGGCATTCTGATTTTGTAGGCTGCTATCAGTAAAAATTATGCAGACATTTTGTAACAAAATAATCATAATCTCCAATACAGATGTAATTTCAGCCAGGCCTAACCATTATCTCCTTGCTTTGTGTTTGAAATTTCTATCAAATAGCATTGATATTAGATATCATTCAACTCTGTATATATATATATATATATATACAATCTTTTTAAAGGGTGATCACTTAGCAGTCTGATAAAATAAAAAATAAAGTATACTGGGACCAGCAGTTAGCGTAATGGCTATGTCGCTGGACTCCCATGTAGTCAGCCGCGGGTTGCACACCAACTGGTGGCTTAGAACTCACGCCGGGCATGTGTGCATGCGTGCCCAAGATCCCGAGAGGAGAATGGAGGAGAAGGGACTGCAGCATGGCCATCCCCCCTGGGGGGTGATTTCTCGCTTTCTTTCTCTCTGTCTGGCGAGCGCACGCGCCCTATAGCAAAAACCTCTCCAAAAAAAAAAAAATTGAAAAAGAAAGTGTAGTAAGACAAACTGCTTAGTCTCAGAAATGTGCCAAAAAAACTGTATGTAGCTGACCAACCATTTCTGATTTAAAAAAACATGGAATAGGATTTGCCTCAATGAGCCAGGATACATCCTAAGATTGTTAGGCTTGCTAACTCTTATGAAATCATTTTATATATCACAGAGTTGAAGCATGAAAGTTAATTACAGTGCATCTTAATCTGTCTCTTCATAAAACCCAATTATAGGGGCCAGCAGGTGATGTTGAGATGCTGGACTCCCACGTGACCAACCTCAGTTAAAGATCCAGCTGCTTGAAACACACAGGACATTGTGGGCATGCTTCCCAAAATCTGGAGAGGAGAATGGAGAAGGGATTACAGTGGGCCATCACCCCAGGGGGATGATTTCTCACTTTCTCTCTGTCCCTCTCTGTGTCTCTGGTAAGCACACATGCCCTATAACAAAAATATCTCTTAAAAAAATTTCAATTGTATAACCAGAGATACAGACTAATTTTAGGCCAAATCATAAACACTGGGTAATATCACAGTACCTCTTCCAATGTCTTTGCCTTCCAAGTCCTTCAATGTAAATGACCTTCCTTTTATAATCAAAACAGCATCACCTTCCCACTTTTTGTGTTTTTTCTTTGAAGCCTTACACCAAACAACACTGAAATATTTAACTCGGCTATCAGTTTCCTCTTCTTGTTCCTTAGACACTATTATTTCTTTAGAAGCTGAATGAACTAGAATAAAAAATAAAAACATTACTAAAGGTGAGTTCAATGTCTAAGTAATAAGGTCATTCAAACAAAAAAACACACATACAAGGAAATCAGATTATATTAAGAAGTATTATGAAGGAATACTTTTTTGTACTCAAGTTAGCATTTTATAAACTTAGAAACCCAGATGTCAGGTGGGAGCGTTACCACAAAAACAATGAATATAAATTTCTTATTTACATTCCCAAAGTCATACAAACTCTACTGGAGTAGAACAACAAAATAATCACTAAAAACATTTTTAAAAGAATTTTAAAATTTAACTTTATTTATTTATTTTTAATTTGACCAGCGAGGGACAGAGTGAGAGAGAGACAAACAAAGTGAGAAAGCAGGCCACCAGGTCCGGGACTTGAACCATGGTCAGCTATGTGGGAGTCCAGCGCCCCCAATCACCACACTACCTGCCAGTCCCAATATTTTAAAATTCTAGGAACTGGCCCATTCCCTGGTAGGTCATACTTGACACTGCTGGTCAGCATGCTGACACTACCCCAGACCCTATAAGCAAGGGGTGGTTAATATCACACAAAGGGCCAGCAGGTGGTGGTGTGGAGGCACTGGACTCCCACATGGTCAATCGTAGTTAGTCATGGACCCAGCAGCTTGAAACTCATGCAGACACAGGTGTGTGCATGTGCCCAAAATTCCAAGAGGAGAATGGAGAAGAGACTGTAGCATGGCCACTATCCCGGAGAGTGGGTGTGGGGTGGGGGGATGATTTCTCACTTTCTGTCTTTCTCTATCTCTCCAGCAAGCGCATGAGCCCTATAGCAAAAATCTCTCATAAAAATAAAAATCTACATACATATTATACACACATACACACACACACCCCCTAGGAATTAAAGATACCATTTCAACATCTATAGCACGGAAAAATACCTAAACTCATATTTTGACAAACATCTGACTTAATTAAGAGTAACAAGTCAAAGGAAAGTAAAACTGCAGAGTTGCCTAAAAGAAAAATCTTTGATTTTGTCTTTGTTTTTATATTTCAATTGACAAATAGAAAGCAAATACATGGTGTACAAATGCTGTTTTGTGTGTGTCTACATTGCAGAATGGCTGAATCCAACTAATTAGCATTATCTATTACCTAAAATTCTTGACCATCATCTCCTCAATCCCCTACCCCTCCTCAATCCCTAGTGACCACCATTCTACTCTCTGCTTCTGAGTTAGATGTTTTTAGATTCCACATACAAGTGAGATCAGAGAGTACTTGTCTTTCTGAGCCTGGGTTATTGTCCTCAAGACAGTCCTCCTGGTTCATCTAGATATCATAAATGACAGGGCTTCTTTTAAGGCTGAATGGTATTTTGTTTATATATATATATATATGTATATATATATACATACACACACACACACACACCCTATTTTCTTTATCTGTTGATAGACATGGGTTGATTCTGTATCTCGGCTGCTATGAATAGTGAAAACAAGAGTACAGATATCTCCTTACCATACTAATCTCATTTTCTTTGGATATATAGCCAAAAAAAAAATTGCTGAATAATATGACATATAATAATATAATTTATTTAAAAAAAGAACAGATATAAAACAAACTTAAAATGAAGCTGAATTTCATTAAAATACTTTTGTCCTCTGGTTAGGGAATTATCAGGTTGGGCCACTGATTCTGAGAATTCAGTAGTATATGATCAGGAAATAAAAAGTATCTTCTGAGGCCAACAGGCGGTGTGATGGTTAAGGTACTGGACTCCCACATGGTCAACCACAATTTGAGTCTCAGATCTGGGAACTTGAAAAGTATCCCCAGCGCAAGTGTCCAAAATCACAAGAAGAGAATGGAGAGGGAAGTGTGGTGTGGCCATCACCCCCACAAGGAGTGATTACTCACTTTCCCTCTCACTGTCTCTCTCTGGTAAGCGTACGCTTCCTATGGAAAAAACTGCAAAAAAAAAAAAACAAAAAAAAAAAAAAGGGGAGAAATACATAAAGTGTGTGTGTGGTTGTTTGTGTGTGTGTGTGTGTGTGTATCACATTTTCTCTTATCTAATCATCCACTTATAGACAATCAGATTAATTCCATAACTGGTTCTTGTGAATTATGCTATTATGCTGCATCTTTCAAACACCCTTGCGATTTAGCTGTGTCACCTGGGTCAGGACACTCCGATACACAAGATTTTTTTTCTTTTTTTTTAATCTATAGCAGGGTTATTCATAATAGCCCAAAAGGTAGAAAAATAACCAAATGTCCATTCAACTGATGAATGAATAAACAAAATGTAGAATAACACAATAGATTTAGCCATAAAAAGGAATAAAGTACTGATATATGCTAAAACACGAATGAACCCTGAAAATTGTATGCAATATTCATTATGCTATGATACCATCACAAAGCCCAAACACGACATGATTTCACTCATGTGAAACATCTAAAACAGGGAAATCAATAAAGAAGATCAGTGGCTGCTCATAGGGCTAGAGGGTGGGGATGGAATAGGAGGCTGGGGTGTAATAGCTAAAGGTATGGGATATCACTGTCAGTGATTGAAAATGTTCTAAAATTGGCACTGGTGATGCCACATAACTGAATACATTAATAGTGAATTGTACACTTTATATGGGTGAATTGAGTAGTATATTAATTTTTTTAAAAGAACATTTTTTAATAATTATTTTATTTATTTTTTCATTTTATTTTGACCAGAGAGAGAGAGAAGTGGAAAGTGAGAAAGCAAGCCACCAGGTCTGGGACTCAAACTATGGTTGGCCATGTGGGAGTCCAGCACCCTTAACCACCACCCCTCCTGCTGGCCCAAGTCGTATCTTAATTCTATCTTGGTAAAACTGTTTAAAAAACACATATACAATGAGATAACACAACACATTAATTAGACTAAAACCAAAAAAAAAACCAAATCATATAAATTGTTGGCAAAGAGGTAGAACAATTGGAAATATATTACCTTGCTAGAAGAAATTCAACACAATAAAACCACTTTGAAAAACTTGGCATACACTTTTAAAGTTAAAAATATACCTAATAGGGCTAGCTGGTAGCATGGTGGTTAAGGCAGCTGGATCCTACATGGTGGACTGTGCAGTTTGAGTTCCAAATCTGGAAGCTTGAAAAACATACTGGGCACATGTGTGCACATGCCCTAAATACAGAGAATGGAGAAGAGATTGCAATGTAGCCAGCCCCTTCCTTCCCCCAGGGTGTGTTTTGTCATTTGCCCTCTCTGTGTCTGTTTCTCCAGCGAGTGCACAACTCCTATAGCAAATCTAAAAAGAAA